ATTACATACCTTTGTTATATCAGCATTTGTATTCAAGGGTATTATTATTATTATTTTTTTATCTCAAGAATTTAGGGACTTAATTGATGATGTACAACTTTCTCAAAACTAAATATTCTATCAGTTTCCCAACTAAAATGACATTTGGGCTTGATTTCCCTTGTTTCAGAAGAAAGAAAATATTTTCATTTTTTCTTCTAATATAATGCAACCTATCCAACTAGGAATATATCTTTTTAACTTAGCCTATCCCTGCAGTCAAACCACTAATTATATATAGCAAGCTGCTAGGCAGGAATGTTCAGAGATAGTGGTAAAAAAAAATCACAAGAGGGTGGTCACCTTCAATATGTGTTACATCATCATGGCAGCCTTTAGACTAGGGGTGACAAACCTGGGGGCTGGATCTGGCCCATGGGGTGCTTAGATCTGGCCCATAGGCCCTCCACGGGAGCAGCGAAGGACTGGCTGGTAGTGCTTCTGTTAGTGAAAACGAAGCTCAGGGATGGCTGGGAAGGCCCTACTGAGCTCTGTTTTTGCTGGCAGAGGGTTGCAGGAGGCTGTCAGAGCCAAAAATGGAGCTTAGAAACCCATCTTTGCTGGCAGAGCACTCAAACCACCACAGGCGCTCCCACACGAGTGACATCGAGCTGGCCACGCCCACCCCAGCCCCCCAAAGTCAAACACAATGCTGATGCAGCCCTCAATGAAATCGAGTTTGACACCCCTGCTCTAGGTTTTTTTGATCATACCCTGAGACACCACCATCACCCCTGCCACCAGATGAAACTCCAGAAGTAAAACACATTACTACCAAAACAAAGTATGATGGAAAGGAATAGGCAGCAGCAGCAAGACAAAGTCATTATAAATTGCAAGTTGTTTCACATGTATGCTCATCTCTGCTGAGTAGGTGTTCATCTCAAAAATGCTCAATAAACTAACGTCTTTGTCTCAGAGAAAGGACTTTTTGTTCTCAAGAAATTGCTAGCAGGCTGTGAAGCAGCACAAAACAAGCCCTGCTGCAAACTAGCAAAGTGAGAAGACACTGCATTACAGACGCGATGTACCTGTTACACATACAGATCTAGAATGCCATGTTCATGCACCGTTCTCAAAGTTATTTTGCTAAAAACAGCACAATGCGCAAAAAATTTATATATTAAAATTGGCACATGAAAAAGGCAAAGCAACATCAGCTTGGCATGTAGCAAAGAACAGAGTTAATTTTCTGCCTGTTTTTCTAAGATTGAAGACTAAATCAGGATTTTAACAGCAGAGAGGAAATTTGAAAACCGCCTCACAACAGTTATAAGAAAGATAACTTTTTCTATAGTAGTCCTACAAATTTTCAAAATGATTTGAGCTGAGTGGAGGGAAAGTGTTGAATAGTGGGCGGAGTGAAGATGCAGGGCAACAGTAACAAGAAAATAGTTCTTTATAAAAGCTCTGGTAACAAAAACTCTGCTGGTCAAGTCCACAGGTGTCTCTGTACCATAGTTTGGGTGCAGCCTGTCCAGTTGGGATCTTAGTTTCTGGCCCATTAGAAGTTCTGCTGGGCTTTAATGTGTGGTGATGTTAGGTGTGATATGTTGAACTAGCAATAGTTTATGTTTTTTCCTGCCAATCTCCAGGGCCCATCTTGGCCAGTGTTTCCTTGGTTGATTGCACCATCCTCTCAGCCTGACCATTACTCGATGGGTGTACTGGTGCTGAGAGGGCATGGCGGATTCCCTGTCCTGCTAAGAAACTTTCTAATTGATTTGCTGTGAATTGGTGTAATTAATTCAAAGTCCCTTCCATAAAGGTACTCATGGAATCTCTTGACTCCTGCCACTGCAGCCAGCGGTTCCTGCTCTAGGTGGCTGTAGTTTTATTTGGCTTTGGAACATGTTTTTGAATAGAATGCAATTGGAGCTTCATTACCATTTGGTATCTGGTGGCTAAGGATGCCCCTACTCCAAAAGGGGAGGCATCCCAGGTTAACATGAGGGGCCAAGTCTCATTGTATTGTATACGAATGCTATTCAATGTTAAAAGTTATTTTATGACAGTGAATGTAGCTGTTTCGTTTCGTCCCATTTCCAGTCTGCCTTTTTATCGAGTAGTCTGTGTAAGGGTTCAGCAACAGTCGTTTCTGTGGCAGAAAAATACTGTAAAAGTTTAGTAACTGGAGGAATGCCTGAAGTTCTGTCTTATTTGTTGGAGTGGGGGCTTCCTTTATAGCTTTTAATTTGCTGTTGGTAGTGTGTATGCCCATCCCATCAATTAGATATCCCAGAAATTTGATTTCGGGCACAGCTATGTGGCATTTTTCTTTTTTAACTTTAAGCCCGTTTTCCTGAAATCTACTCAATACTATTCGTAACCGATAGTTTAATTGCTCTTTGTTGCTGGCGGACATGAGGACATCATCAAAGTAAGTCACCACCCCTGGAATGCCCTCTAGGTGTTCCATTATACTCTGGAATGGTCCTGGAGCCACGCTCATGCTGAATTGCAACCAGCGGCACTTAAATGCTCCTCTGTGAGATACAATAGTCTGTGCTTTTGCAGTGACATCATCTACTGGTAACTGCTGATATGCCAGGGCTAGATCAAGTTTTGCAAAAGTTTTTCCTTTTCCCAGGGAATGTAACAGGTGCTGTACAATTGGCACACGGTAGACACTTTGTTGTAATGCCCAATTTATGGTACATTTGTAGTTGACGCATATGCGTACTGAGCCATCTGGCTTGACTGGGGTAACAATAGGTGTCTCCCACCTAGCATGGTTAACCGGCTCCAAAATCCTCTAGGCAATTAGTTTGTCTAAGTGCTCATCAATTTTCGGTCAGAGAGTAAAAGGAATCCTCCGTGGCTTCACTCTGACAGGGGCAGAAGTGGGGTCTAGGCTGAAAGAAATAGGGATCCCCTTATACTTGCCTAGACTCCCATCGAAGATGTCCTGGAACTCTTGCAGCAGTTTCTCCTCGATATCATCTTCTTGGATGATATTGATGCTGGTCACTTCCAGCCCCAGGGCATCAAACCACTCCGTCCTGAGCAATTTAAGATGACCCGCAAAATCCTTGAATGCAATTTTGAAAAGTCCACTTCCCAGCACTGGAATGCAGTTTCCTTGGTAGTCTTTTAAAAGTATCTTTTGAGGCTTTAGTTGCTATCTGCTTATTTCCAGGACTGCCTTTTTTTGTTTTTCCAGGACATCATGGATAAATAAATCCTGTGTCCATCTCCATATCACATGGAGTGCCCTCAATCTAGACTAATACATGGATCTTTTTTGAGCAATCAGCATCAGAATGTCCAACAATTGTCTGGTGTGTTTCTCCCATTTCAAAGGCTTGGTCATCCCCTCGTTTGTTCTTAATGAATGGGGACCAGCAGGCTCCCGGTTATGAGACATATGGTCGCATAGGGGAATTAGGTTGTCTCAGATAGTTTTTTTTCCCTTTGATTGGGGGTCCTACCATTCTATCAGATTGGATGCGATGTATTTTGTTGTCTTTTTCGGAGGATCCTCCCAGTTCTGTGCTCTCTTGGTGTACTGTAGTCGCTTCCTTTGATGTAGTTGCACTGTTTACTTTTTTCATAGCTACAACTGACTGTTGGGAAGCTTCTGTGGTGGTGGCTTCTTCTAAAGCAGTTTTAAATGTGATTTTTGGCTTAGCTAATAATCAGCTCTGCAGAGCTAAGTCTCTCAAGCCCAACACGAGCCCATCCCTCATTGCTTCATCCACGTTGAAGAATTCGCACCTGGTTGCAATTTCTCTTAATTTTGCAACAAATTCACCAATCATTTCTCCTTCCTTGTGGTCCCTTCGGTAAAATTCATGACGCTTTATCAATGATTAAGCCACCGGTGTGTAATGATCTCGTAGTGTTTTCTGTAACGCTGTCCATGTTAATGTCTAATTCAATGGGTGCTGATAGGGCTTTAGCCATCTTAAAAACGGAGGGTTCCTATTTTCTGTCAAATCCAGAAAGTCATTTGCTTCCAGGAACATAGGGAACCGCTCCATGTATGAGCTCCAGTCTTCGGCAGCTGGGTTAAATGGAGCCGGTGGGCCAGATGGCAGTGAGGACATCTTGGTTTGGCTGTTTATCTGTGATGGCTGATGATGCCACCAGGATGCCTAACCAGTTCAGTTGTGTCCTTTGTTCTCTTCAGATCCCACCTTCATCGCCAGTGTTGAAAGTGGGCGGAGTGAAGATGTAGGACAGCAGTAACAAGGAAATAGTTCTTTATTAAAGCTCCGGTAACAAAAACTCTGGCTGCAGCACAGCTCGGCAGTTCCTTTTAAACAGGGACCTATCCAATACTTCAGTCACTGACAGCCATTCATTTTCCCGCCTGGAAAATGAACCAATGAGTGAAGTCTTACATCAGACTTCCCTCTCATTGTATATTCAACAGAAAGTTCTATTACATGACAGAAAAACAGAATACAAATATCCCAAAAAGGAATACATAGACTATTTATAAGGACCATTTATAGGAGTTATAACTGGTTATTATTGGTTGGCTATATGCATCTCCCACTTCCAGAACATATTCTGTACCACAAAGTCTACAAATGCATGATACACAAGCAGCAAGGCATAGTAAGGCACCCTGGGACTAAATTGTAATTTACTGAGTTAAAGACGATACATGTAATGATTTTATATTAATCATATATTCAGTTTTTGTGTGGTGATGCTAGTAGTAAATAATAACTTGGCCAAAGCATCTTACTGAAACTTACTGAAATCATATTATCTGCCTGTAATCAGCATTAATACATTAAAAAATCCATGTTTTATATATTATATAAATTCAAATCAGAAGATTAAGGTCAAGTAATCTCTGCTTTTCAGACTAGTTATTCCTCTTCTGCTGCAACAGAGCCAAAGGTTTTCAGATCTTCTTCCTGGTCTAGTCATTGGTCAGTGACTATTAATGAGAACTAGCAGGCAAATATTAAGAACATATGGCAATTAAGAAATCAGCTACTCACCCCGTGAGAACCACCACAAAATCCATCACATTCCACCCATTCCTTAGGTAGGATCCCTTGTGGAAAGCAAATCCTAAGGCAATAATTTTAATTCCAGCCTCAAAACAAAATATTCCAATGAAGTATGGTTCAGTGTCATCCTAGAAAAGATTATGTAAAAATATTATTAGTGATTACATTTTATTCCATATTTTCTTCAAAGACCAATTCTAATCCTGTATTATTTTCATTAAGCCAAAAACAGGTATATATATCTGATAGTTGTATAGCATTTTTTCCCTACAACCTGTGGACACCCCTGCCATTCCTTATTGTAAAGGGGATGAAGAGTCCAAAATATCTAAAGGGTACTAGAGAATTAATTTTTGGGACCAACTCGTAATATGACTGGCATAGAATTACTAAGGAAACCACATAGTGAGGATGGCTCACCAGGACCTTACCTTCTGATTACACCTAGCTGGGCATGAATATATTCTAAACATTTCCATCCTACTTTGCAAACATGGGTAGACCATCTTGCAAATCCTTTAAAATCAATTAATTGCACTAATGTAGGCTTCTATTGAAAATTATGTTTATAAAAGATTGACACCATTTACCATACTGGGGACTAAAAGACCATTGGGAGAAAAATAATCATGTTGCATGATCATATATGTATTTCCTCACTCACTACAAGTAGTTCTTGAGTTACGACCACAATTAGGACTGGAATCTTAGTCATAAAGCGAACCAATTGTTAAGTGAGACACTCATGTGACTGTTTTGCTGAACAATCACAATTCCTCCATTCACGGTGTCCCACGGAGTGGGGGAGACCTTGAGAGGCCTCTTAGGAGCTAAAAATCCTGTTGAACTCCAAGCAAGGTTTTTCAGAGTGGAGAGACACTTGTGTGTAGCCTGCACCACGCTTCCTTCTTCCTGAAGCACCAAGTGCTCCTTTTCTTACTATGCTGCCTCTCTGTTCAGGAGTTGAAAACCCTCCTTGCTGAAATCCAATTACGATTTTCAGCTCCTGTGCAAAGCGACACATACATGCAACCTGCTCAGGGCCTCCCTCATCCACCTGAGTCACCCCACACGCCTTACTTTGCTTGGATTTTGGTCCCCTCTGAAAGAGTTGCCTGCTGAAGGATTTTAGCTTTTCTCCTCCATGCACAGTACTCTTTCTGTGGGCAGGGCAGGAATGAAGCTGTAATCTTCATGGTTTGTGCTCCATTAATGCACCCTATGGAAGCAGTTCAGCTGCCCTCCATGCACCAGGGAGAACTCCTTCTTTATGGTGCAAGAATGAAGCTGCAATTTTCAGGACTTTGTCTGTTTCTGCATCCTTAGAAGGCATTCAGCTCCCTTCAGCAGGCAGCTCTTTCAGGCAACCCCCAGAGAAGACATATATGTAGCAGCTTGCAACCTTCCCTGCCAATTTCCACACTGACATTCTGACTTGACTAGTGGCAGGGCATTTGGCAACCAATCATAAGTGTGAACAGGTTACCAAGCACTCAGATCGCAATCACATGACTACAAGAGGTGCTGCTGCAACATTTTATAATGCGGAAAGTGCTTTACAGGCCATAAAGCACACTGAGGCCAACATGTTTTCAGACAGTTGTTAAACAAAGGGCCATGAGTTGAGGACTACTTGTAGATACTTGTCAATAGATCAATACAATGATTGGAAAGTGGAACAAAATCCCCTTAAAACTTCTGCTTGAAAATTGGTACACTTCCATTTCATAGACAGTTCTTATGTAGACTTCATTAAGCAGTGCTATACTTTGATATTGGAAAACTAGCAACTACTGTATTTCTGTTTTGGCTCTATTCTTAACTGTATACCAGATTTTTTTAGTTGGTAACTCTGGTTCCATATAACAGATGATGTTCATGAAGAAAGATTATTTCATCAAAGGATAGGGCAATTTTACTGAAACTTATGAAAAGGGGGAAGATCTTGACATAGGGCCAGAGCTGATGAAAAGAGGCTGCAGTGTATGCAGCTGTGTTCATATCCAGAAAACTAGGACACTCCTAAGCAGAGATGTCAACTGAAGAAGGCTATGTAAATGAATAACAGACAAAGGCTTCCTGTCATTGCTGCTATGCTCTGAGTGATCCATGCCTGCTTTAGGTTGATGGGGTTTTCAAGAGGCAGGTCCAATCACAGGCTGAACCAGCTCCATAGATTGGGGCCAACAGTGCCGTTCTTGTAAACAGAATATTACTCCAGGTTGACTTTGCACCTAACCTTTATACCTTCTATTCTATTCTGTTCTGTTCCATTCCGTTCCTTTTGCTTCTATTTTATTCCCACCACAATCATCTTGGTGGTATGTAAAAGATAATAAATATACTAAATACAAAACATGCATTCAAGAGTAAAAATAAAAATAATGGAATACCAAATAGGGGCATATAGCATTTCTATTGCATTATCTAATTATTTAATACAATTATTGGAAAGTATTCCATATGAACTGCTTCTGGAAGATCAAAAGAGGTGGACCAAGCCTTATTTCCAAGATAATGTGTTCTAAATATGAAGCTCATGACAGAAAAACACTTCCTTTAGGGCTCCACATCCTCCCCACCTTCCTGTAAAACTACTGGGAAACTGAACTACTCCAAAGAAAAACACATAACTGTCACAATGTATTGGGCCAGAGATTTCCTGAGGCAAATGCTTCCTGAGGCAAATGCATGATCACTATAGAGGCCATAAACTCCCAACTTCTTCCAAACCCAAATCCTAAATTATGGAGGTGGAAATCATCTAACTCAAATAAGTAACAAAGATCCAATACCAAGATTAGGAATTCAGAATGGATTACTGCAGATAAAGAGTAGCCAATTCACAAGCAGGATCCCTAGCTCATCTCTATAGCATACCTGGCAATGTTAGGAATAGAAAATCCTGATCAAGAGAAAAATATCTAAAGAACACTGCATCTCCCTTTTCTCAACCTTAGCAATAAGCTTAACAAAATTCCTCAAACATTCTGGACACATCTTTAAATTCAATTCCTCCGTGTATTCCATTTTGAATATGTAATTGTATCATTTATTTTGTAGAAATCCATCCACAATGCTACCTTAAAGCTTTGAATGGGGATCTCAAATCACATGTTGTATTAGGCCACAAATTACTTAATTTTACTGAAAATGGCCCTCCAGAGGGCTAAAAATTTTGTCTTCTACAGTAGAGTTTAAGAGGAATGAGAATTATACTCACCAATCGTTCTGACATTGGTGTCTTGTCTCCATCAGGTAGATGTTGCTCCAGAGCAAGGACAATGCAGTTTGCTATGATAGTTGCTAAAATCATGTATTCAAAAGGAGTAAGGCAGGGTTAAGGAAAGACTCGTAGACAAGTGGATTTTTATGCATGGTCAAAAAAGAAGTGTTCCCAGTATCGCCCACTTCTTATGCCAATGTATTCTATTATGAGTTCCCTAAACATCAATGGGTTCTAAAAAATACCATTTAGCTTAGAACTTTACTATCAAAAAGACCCATTTTAAAATCAAATTTCTGACTAAGAATGTGCCTGGATATAGATTTCATTGTGCTATCATCATAATTCATTTATAGACTTTTATTAGGGCTCCTGATCATATTATTTCCCACTTTTGATCCTCTTGTGTTTTCCCATGCTTGATCTTTTTTCCTTGCTCATAAAATCCATTAAAAAGAATAATATAGAAGAATTGCATATTGATTTTTTTATCTGTAGCACCGTGTGCTGTTCATTGGGAAGCATGGCCATATCATATTTTCCTCTTGATTTACTGACATGGAAAAGTATTATATTAGAACAGTCTAATGGACATTAAGCTTTGTGAACTAAAGTCACTGGATCCAACTACAAAGAAATACTACTACCCATTCTAACACAATTTCTGAGGAAGGTGCACTTAGCTTCCTACAGAAATTCCTACGTAATAATTACACCTTAAGGTCATTGCACATTATTATATAGCAACAAACTGAAAACTGCCCTCAATGAATAACTGTTAATGTGCTGTAGCTAATACTGTGTGATACCTGATGTGTTCCTTACAATCACATTTTATATCATTTTTATGTACAGCTAAAAAAGCACCAGATGAAACAGCCCTTTAAAACTTATTAGATCTTGCTTTTCAGGAGATCATTGCCATTTACCCAAGCATTAACATGCAATGATAACAGAAGAGGGAGGGGGGGAGAGAGGGATGGGGAGAGAGGGAGAGAGCTAGTATAATTATCAACTTCAAATTATAATTTGGCCTGAAGTCAATTTATAGAGAATGTGAAGATATAGGAATGATCTATCCTCTATTTGGATATCCTGGATATCACTACAGGAATAACAGTAATGTCTTGTCATGACTTCTTCCTTATGTAGATATCAATGCATATTTTAAAAGGTAGACTTTTCATATTAGAAATTCTTGATTAACAGTAATCAAGAGAGAAGGCTTGAGGGACTGGCAGATGATTTGTCTTCACAATTGCAATACTAAATTTTGAAGATGATCTAGATTATTTGTATTTATCCTCAATCTCTTTTGACAGCATTTAGAAGATCAGAAGAAATTACTGTTTTAGAGAGAATAAATATCAGAGCAGGGAGCCCAGTGCTATCTAATAAGGTTAAAAACAGGATTCATAAACTCCTATTCCTGCTTTGATTTCATTTCATCTATAGATGAATGGATGGAAAATCATTTCTTTATATATTCTTTTTCTTTTATATTTATAAATACATAAATATATGTAACTATATAAAGAAAAGAAATATATAAAGAAATGACTTCCTATTTATCACAAGTACAAACAATTTTAGTAATTTAAGAATTAAATAGCAACAAATGGTTTCTTTTTTTCATATCCCATCTCATATCTGCAGTCAAATCCTCATAATCTCATTATTTCAGTCCTAATCAGCAAAAGTCCATTAAAGGTTTCCAGGAATAACATATCTATTTTACCCTTGATAAAATAAAAACCACTTTTTTATTATTTTAACAAACTTAATCTTTAATCTCTTCAAATATCGTAGAACTTGGATTCTTTTCATTTTTCTTTGTCTCTGCTCACAAAATTCTTCAAAGTAACGTCTCTTTTGTAAATTCAACATAAGAAAATATTTGTCTGTCCCTTACTTGGCCTGTTATTTGTATATCCCTTTTAATAATCAAGACATCAGCTGGTTTCTTTTATATGTCCCATGTAGCATCTTTTTTCATATCATTCATTATATTATCCTGTCATTTTTAACTACATTTTCAAATCAATCTCAATTTTGTCAGATAAAATTTGTTCTCTTTTCATGACACCTTTAAATACACTTTTTCTATAGAGACAGAGAATCCTATAATTAATTTCTGGATCCATTGTTCAGAAATATCCTTCAATATGTCCTATGTTAAAATATTTTGCTTCATTCTTTATTAATAAGTCAAATTTAAATGTTCTTTTTCTTTAATTGAGCTAACTTTAGTTCCTTCTGGTTTTATCTAGTGTCCAACTTTTGAAGTATCATCTTATCATATTTTTAAGAGAATTTTTAAAAAATCTTTTAATTAATTCCAAAACATTATTTCAAATCCATCTGGCTCTTACTCTGCTTTTAACTTTTCAAAATCAAAATTCTGATTACAATTTTTCTGTTTTTTTTAAATTAAAAAATACCCTTAAACTTCTTTCTCTAAGGATTGAAGGGAACTCATTTGGTATTTTCAGACTGGTCGAGCCAAAGATTCCCAATAGCTAAAAAGTAGTTAAAAAGCAATTTCAAAAAAATGATTAGAAAAAAAACTATGTGAACTTAGTGTTCTTTCAAAGGTGGTGAATGCAGTTTGGGAAAGAGGACTATTCCCTCATCTCCCAGGGCTCTAACTATGCAGAGACTTTCAATCTCCTTGTGAGGAGCAATGGTCTAAAGCAGGACTGTCAAACTTCTGGACCAACAGATGGATGCGTCACACACTGGCTACGCCCATACCTGGTTTAGCAAAGGGGAAAAGTCCCAATACATCATATGACACTGACGTGAGTTTGACACTCCTAGTCTAGACTATTTTTGGTGATCTTAAGTCCTTTCCTTGCCTGGAGAGAACTTATTGAGGAGCCTGTTTATTCAGTAGCTCTTTATTCCAGGGCAGTCATCAGTTCCTCTTGTTGTTGAACTGTTTTCCATCTGCCATTTCTTACCCAGAAGTACCTATTGTGAGTTACATTGTGAGTTCATTCCCTCTTCATGTTTCACAGATATGGAAACAGGAACTTGAATTTTTGTGGAATTAGATGTAATGAAATGGGCATATTTGTATGTGTGTGAGAATTGAAAACATTTTTTTAAAAAAAACTTATTTAATTATTTAAAACATACTATAAGATAAATTCAATCATTTTTAGCATATACCAGGCCACTGTATGAGCTGGAAGATATATGTCCACTAAGTGTATTGGAAATATGCTTCTCCTATTTATTCTCTGTGGCCCTATCTAAGAGATACTGGTAATTATACCTGTTAAATACATTCTGGAAGTGAAGGTCAATATAACCTTTGTATAGCTATGCAACCACTCTTAAAGCAGTTTCCTGTGATGAATTCTGTTCTGCAGCTTTTTTCTCCTGAGTGATTAATTTATTTAACAGACAGCTGCAGACAGCACTATTTCCCTACCACATGTGGCATTAAATATTTAATATGGCCATTTTTATCTCATCTTTTAAGATACCAATCCTTCCAATGTGGGTCATAATAAGAACTGAAGCAACAGCAGAATAAAATTTAAAACATGAACCAAAATATTATATATGATAGGATTAAGATCAAGAGAAAATGTTCATACATCTTATGGAAGAGTATGATTGGTCAAATATTGGTCACGTTCCTGGTGGATAATCAAGATAGCTACCGTTAATGTTCTTCTACTTTTTGGAAAGTATTAAGTAGACAGTAATGCAGTATTCAGACTTTCTGTACTCACAACTAATGTGAAGGCACAAGTACTTGCATCAGTTAAGCTTTTTTTTTTTAAAAAAAAAAAGACTTAGAAGTGGAAATAGTGTTAACTGCATTTCACCAAACTATTACATATTACATGACATCCTGTATGATAGCAAGAATTTGCTACTTCTGTAGGATTCTAAGTAGAGGACATATTTAACTTTTTGAAGTCCTGATCAGAAGCCTCCCTGAAATGTATTTCAATGGTGTTGCTTACAGATTTAGAATTAGATCAGCTGCTTATTGGACTATCATCTTAATATAAACACATCTGACTGTACACCATCTTTTTCTAATATAAATTCTGGGATGGAAAGAAAGGGCAGAAAAGCTGCGTTACTTGCATGTAATTGTTAAATGGATCTAAGCAGGTGGCGGCATTGGTCAAGCTTGTCTGAACTGAGAAGCTAAGTCACATTGGGATGGTTTCAATACTTAGACAGGAGTCTTCCAGTCTCTCAGAGATGTAGACTAACTGGGAGATTGAAAATATACCAGACAAGGAAAATACCAACAATTTATTAACCCCATTAAAACTGCATGGCTAATCTAGGAAATATAATTGTGACTGAACGAAAGGAGATTCAAAGCAAACTATTTCTTTTAGAAAAAAGTTGATACTAGTTCAGCCTGTCCCTGCTTCTCGCATATTGGATGGTTCACTCATTAGGAACATGTGCCCAGAACAGGCCTCCTATGAGATATGAGCAACAAATAAAAATCCAATAGTTTAACTTTTCTTTATAAGTTTCATATTTATGCTGGAAGAATCATGCACCTGTTTTTTTTGCTTATCACTTAACTTTTTACAGCACTGCTTTTGTCCATAAGTAATAGCAACCAAAATTAGGAGGGGTCATATTTGCTGACTGCTGACTTTTTTCAAAACCACAGCTGACCTTTTTATTGTCTGGTTGTATTCAATGCTGCATTTGACTTATAGACAGAGGGCTTGAAGCCTATACTAGGGCTATTTGTTTTGCCAGGTTTTTTTTTCCAGAGCATGGGAAGAAATATTATCTAGAATGTACATTTATCGTGTCCCAATACATGGCTTCTGACTATGGCATTTGCTATCTAAGTGTGTTGCTAGGACCTGTTGTGTGGGAAACAGCAAAATTATCTTAGTGGTATATCTCTTCTCAAACTTAAATAATATGATTTTTCTGTGAAGATTATCTTCTCTCTACAGGTACTGAGCTGACATTCCTGTCAGTGTTTTTACACAGGGCAGGGAGGCTACAGAAAGTCTGACATCTCATGCATTAAGCAGTTGTCTTTTTTTCTTTGTTAAAGTTACATTCTTTGTCCATTCAGCATGTTGCTCAACATTACAA